TGCACACATTTGGCTTGATATGAGCTGGCTGTGCTGACATGTGAGCCTACTCTCTTCCTCACTCAGGCAGCTCAGCACCTTTTACATAATCTGTTGAATTCGTTAAAACTGGTGACTGGTTCCTTCAGGGATTGACTGCCAAATATCTGCAGTATAAGTTCCTATCTGTTTACAGTAAATCTCATGATTGGGCTAGTCCTTCAACACCTCTGGAGGTAGGCATGTCACTAGTAGTATGGGGTATTTGCCTCCTAACCAGTGGCAGTAATCTATACTTCTCCAGAATATTTTCTCTGCTGCTTCTATAGCATACACCCTTGCTATCTCCCATCAGAAATACTGCAAGTGTTAGATGCTATTGTAGTAGCTGCTGCTGCTTTTTTTTTTTTGGTGAGGCAGTTGGGGTTAAGTGACTTGCCCAGATGTAGTAGCTTCTTCAGAGGTCTACCTCCACTTCTACTTCTTTTCCTCAGTATTTTTTTATATAACTATTAGGTTAATCTTTATCCATTCTGAATTCTGATCATATTTTTATCCTTCAAAAGATCTGTGATTGTTTTAATGGGTACTCCCTCTGATAAGATGGATCACAACCCAGCCATGGTGTTTCATTCTGTGAGATTTTTGTCTTGCTGTCCAGTAAACCTTCAGTGGGGAAGCCACCCAGTATGCTGGGAATCATTTTCTAGTTCTCCTGACATCATGTTGCTGCTGAAATGTGTCAGTTGTCCGTCAGCTATTCCATGTGACCAGCCCGATTTTTTTCCTTTTTTTTTTTGTTTTGTTTTGTTTGTTTGTTTGCCTTTAGGCAGTTGGGGTTAAATGACTTGCCCAGGGTCACACAGCTAGTGTGTGTTAAGTATTTGGTCTGAGGCTGGATTTGAACTCAGGTCCTGCTGCCTTCAGGGCCAGTGCTCTATCCACTGTGCCACCTAGCTGCCCCCTTTTTTTTTTCTTTTTAAAAAAAGATTGGGTTTCCCCATCTTGCCCTGGCAACTCACAAGCCAGGTGCCACTATCGATTGGCACAGGCATTTTGACCTGTTCCATTTCCTGCCTGGTGGCCCTTCTCCTTCCCTGGTCCCAGAGGCTCACCATTTTAATGCCAAATTTAGTGCAGAAACCCAATTGGCACACTCCCCTGCAGACAGAATTCCCAAGTTGAAGAGATCTGCCCAATGTCAGCCTCTTTGTTAGCTAGGATTATGGGCACATGCCACATGCCAGGCCCCATTTCTTTTAAGGGCCACCTTTCTCTGACATCTGTGATCTCTCTTCTTTTGTGTGCTTCTTTATTGGTAATGTGTTGCTGCTTGCTCTGTCCATGCCTACCATGCCTCTCCTTTGCTCTTTGGGTGACCCTCAGCTTTATTTGAAGACTGTTATACTCCATGATCCATAGTGATATACCATCACCAGAAGATCAGAAGTGTTAAAAAGATGGGCCTTTGTTTCAGAAAAAAGCTTGAGGTCCATGAAAGTACTGTACGATTTCCTGAAGGCAATCTAAGTCTGCTTGCCTGTACTTTTTCTGTTCTGGGCGCAGCTCAATGTCTATCCAAGAGAATGTGGACTGATAGACTGACTCTGTAGGCTAGTTGTCCCTCCAGCTACATTACATGATCCAGAGTCTAGACATTCATCAACTGGGTTTTTCCAATGTGGATATTTATACCACACACTTTTAAATGATTATGAATCTCATTTTGGAGGCTCTTCAATTTTCTCCAGTTGATGCAATCCCCACAATATCATCAGCAAACAGCAGCTGGAAGACTCATCCTTATATAATTCCTTCTCCATTTGGATTTATGTTGGACATCCTCCATGATATTGGCAAACACCCTTGGCAAGCATATAGCTTCCTGTTTTGTGTCCTTTTTTGATAGTAAGAATTAGAGGGTCATCAAGCAAAATATCTCTGTTTTATCATTAAAGGACTTATATGATTTCAGCATGTGCATGGGAGACACCTTTAAGGCAGGGTTTTTCTCTACCAAATCAAATGCCTTTGTTAAAAAAAATACAAATTAAGCATAGCAGGATTTTGTAATCTATGTACCTTTCAGCCAGTTACTGTAAAGGTGTAGTTTGCTGCAGAATATCATGTGTGAAAACCTGGCCTTTTTTTTTTTTTTGAGCTCTGGTCCTATCATTCAGAAGTGGTTTCTTATTGTCTACCAAGCAAAGGTCAGACTCTTTTGTATGACAATTAAGACTTTTCCTTTCCTAGCTTATCTTGAACTATACCCTTCCAGTGAAATTGAATTACTCTGTTCCCCAGACCCTGTACTATTCCATGTAGTCGGGGGTGTACTGGTAAATATTTAACAACTGGCTCTCCCCCAAAAAAGCAGACACAACACTGTTAAGTTTAATCTGCATTATTAACATTTCCTCTATCACTTTCTTAAGTTTAGATAAACAATAAATCAAGCCCTGATCTGGAGCATTTACTGATGTCCCAGGTATAAATGCTCCCAATAAAAATTTAACAATTGGCTCCACTCCCCTATGTGTCTGTGACCTGGAAGAGTCTCTCTTCTCCTCTTATTCTATTTCTGACCACCTTCTAAAGACCAGCTGGGTCACTACTTCTTGTAATGACCTATTTCCCCTTAGACTTCACACAGGGCTGTTTTACACCTTTAGGTTGCTAAGGCTGGAATATATCTTAGAAGTGATCTTGTGCCTTTTTATTATGATGAGGAAAATGAGGTCCAGAGTGGTCAAAGTCACACAGGTAGTAAGCACCAAAGTTGGGATTTGAACCCAAGGCACCTGACTCCTAAACTGGTGCTGCTTCTACTATACAGTCTGCCTCTCTAATTAAGTATAATTATGCATTATAGTTATTTGTGTCTTATCTTCTATTAGATTTTAGGTCCCATGAAAGCAGGCACTTGTATTTTACCCAAGCTTTATATTCGCTACCCCCCAGTACCTACTACAGTACTCTATGTACAATAGATGCTTAATTAATGTAAGTTGAATTGAATCATAGGCAGTTGTTTCCTGTCAGGGAATCCCATTTTCAAATTTCATCCAGATTGTTGGAAGGCCCCATTCACCTTTTCTTTCTCTCACCCTCATACCTTGTATTCATTCATCTGCTAGACAGTTCCTTATAATCCGATAAGATAACAAATGTAAAGCACTTGCAGACCTTGAAGTACTACATAAACCTAGGTGTTGAAGGACAGACTCCTTCATAATTTTCTCTTGTACTCTTGTTATTCTTTCTCAAATTCCTCTTCCTGCCTGTTCACTGATAAGGTCTCTGGAGAATTTCAGAGTTGAAGAGGACCTTAGAGATCTGTTACTTCATAAGTTCCTCTAGAGTTTGTTCTCTTGAATTCCTTTACACTCTTTCTTTATCTGATCTTACAAAACACTGGTCCCCAGTGTGGTATTTGAGGACTCTGAATGATGGTAGACCCCATCTCTGAAAAACTCAACTCTAGAAGCACCCTTACCCCCGAGACACAATTTATGCCATGCTGAGGTAGGCATACCATGATTATCCCCATGATGCTGCCAGCATCTTTCTGGGTTCTAATTAATGTGCATATGCCCTAATTAAAGATCCTGCTGGGGAGAGGAGAGTATCATAATACGGTGGAAAAAGTATTAGCTCTGGATGCAGAGAACTTGGGTTTAGATCCTGCTTTTGATGTGTAACTTCTGGCAAGTCACTGAATCTTCCTGGGCCTCCTTACTTTTAAAATGAATGGAGTATATTAGATGGTCGTTGAGGTTTCTTCTAGCTTTAGATCTCTTGTCCTGCGGTCCTTGATCCCATTGGAATGGGATTGTGGTTCTCAAGACAATCTAAAAAGTGAAGAGTGATCTCTATGAGATAGGACCTTTTTAGAGTAAAAAGGAGTGTCAGTTCCCTGAGCTAATAGCTCTTAGACTGCTTGAGGCCCAAAAATTAGCAAATGGAAATATATAAACCTGGGGGGACTTGTCTAAAATAAGACCCCATGACCTTTGAGTATTTATTTTCTCCCTAATTCTGGTTAATCTCTTTCCCACCATCTTGGAAGTTTGAAGTACCCCACTTCTACACAGCTCTGTTCAAAAACAATCCTCCAAATTACAAATTGTATCTAATAATGAAGCAGCAGGAGCCTGGGTGGGGCAGGAGACACCAGGTACTGGGTAGAATCCAGGGTAAGGTTTCACATATACGTTCACCTGTGTAATTTACCTAGTAGAATTTTTATCTGGCTTCTGTGCATTCAAATAACTACTTTCCAGAGCTTTATGATGTTGATATGGAATAGCATCAATGAATAGGACTTCCACTGAGCACAACTGGCTAACAGTTTGTATACTTCTGCTGCTTTATCCAGTCTAAATCCCACGCCATCTCCTCACTGTAATAACCATGTTTCAGACTCTAGTCCCTCAATTCTTACATATTAGATACAGTGAAGTAATAGAGTAAGCTAGGAATTGGGCTAGGCAAACCAACCCAGTTATAAAAGGCAACAGAAGAATGGTGCCTTCAGTGTTCCAGAACACCAGCTGAGGAGGGATTGAGGGAGATATTCAGATATGGATCATAAGGTCAGTGCCTTCCCGAGGAAGCTTCCTAGGAATTGCAGAAAGTTATTGGCTGGCCTGACTTGTCATGGGAGTCACACTCAGTGTTCGTTTTCACCTGGCTCAGTGAGAAGGGAAAGGTGGGAGATAGATCATAGGCTCAAGGAAAGAAAAGATTTTCCCCTCGATACCTTGCTCAGAGCTTGGGGGCACAGAGGACAAAAATCACCCATGATCCTATTTCTGTCACTTCTTGGTAGTAGCATAGGCCTTGATACTATTTCTCTGCAGAGCCCGGGGATAATTAGACCATAGTTCCTAAGGACAGGAACGTCATCCTCCCTTTCCTTTGCATTTCTCCACATGTTGTAATACCGAGTCTTACACATTGCCACGGGAGTGTTAGGAGTTGTCTAAGGCATCTAACCAATTTGTTTTGTCTCTGTGAAGAATTCTCACTGTGGATGGGCTTATTGATGACATCAAGCGGCGGAGATACTATGAGAAGCCATGTCGCCGGCGACAGAGGGAGAGCTATGAGACTTGTCGGCGCATCTACAACATGGAAATGGCACGAAAAGTTAACTTCTTGATGCGCAAGAATCGGTTGGACCCGTGGCAGGGCTGCTGAACCCAGCGGAGATTAAGAGACCCAGTGTGAAAACTCCCTCGTAGGCGATAGCTATGTCTCCACAGGTTTCTCTGAGAACCTAACAATTGGGGAATTTGCTTCCCGGTTTTTCCAGCCCTGGTTTCTCTTGCCATCTTTTCAATCCCAGTATATTCAGATACATACATAAATGCATGCATGCCACGCATTCACACACATTTACCTCCCTGCCAGTGAATGATATTAAATGTTCCTCCCTGTCACCATGTCTCTGAATGGAAAACCCCACAGGACTGTGTCTTTGCCATTCTGAAGAAATTGGCGGCACAGAGACTTCAAAAATGAACGAGTGGAATATAACACTTTTATTCCATTCCTTGATCCCCAATAATTCCCAGTAAGGAAAACTAAGGACTACAGATAAGAAGTGTCCCCTAGTATTGTTTGAAAAGTCATCTCTTTTCTCTCCAGAATAATTTCCTAAATTGAAGAAGGGTAAGGCTCATGTAATTGTAATAAATTCTACTTCTGAAGCACCCAACCAAACTATTCTACTGAAATCTTTCCCCATGGGAATTCCTGGAAAACTCCAACAATCCAAATTACTCCTGTTTTCTCTTTTGTTCGGAAGGGGGAACGTGGACGGAGACAGGGATGCAGGGCCGGTCGGCACGGCGGTAAGACCAGACAGGAGATGAAGCTGGGGTTAAGCTAATAGGCATAAAGGTGAATGGGGAGCAGCTGAAACATAGAAAAGATGAGAAGATGGAACACACATGGGACAGACATGAATCGAGGAAACAAAGTGGAGTTTTCCACCCCACCCCCATGTCCTCTTCCCCCAGCAGGGACTCTCGGGTATGTGACACCGACAGCTTGTGGCGTCGGGCCACTGTGGGGAGAGCCAGCTGCTTTGCTTCCTCTCCTGCTGTCTGTTTGCTCTGGCCACGCTCCCCAGATAGCTGTGTTGCTGATATTAGGCGAGTAGGCGCCAACCCCTGCAGGGGGTGGTGGGGAAGGCCAAGGTGGGCAGCCCGCCCCGCTCTTTCACACGGCCGTAGCCTGCTGAAGCCTTCTGGAGCTGCGTGGCTTGCAAAAAGGAAATAAACAGCGCACACTGCCAAGCTTCCTTCCGTTACAGTTTGCTGATGTTCAGACAGCTCCCTCTGGTGGTAAGGAAGGATGGCTTTGGGTCACTTCTAGCCCTACTCATTTATCTGCTTTTTAACCTCTTTCCCTAAGGATTCCCATTTATACTAACATCCTTACTGATTAATTAAGCTGGGGCTATAATAAGATAGAATGTAACTTGTGGTCCTTGCCCTCTTAAGCTTCTGCCCTTCCATTAATGTCAACATTAAGAGTACTTGAGGGATACTAGAGAAATAAAAGGTATCCTTGGCTCCTGGAAGTTGATAATCCAGCTGAAGACTATATACCTGTGAAACAATTTTTTAAAATCCAATTTTGTGTACAATTAGTCACTCTTAACATCTTTTTTCTGGCATTGTACTTGGTGGGTGTTTTCCCTTTGTCTCCTGTGTCAAAACAAGATTTAGGAATATATCAATGCAAGAAATCAACTACCCATAAATTCGGAGCGGAAGAATTCCACAAACATTAAGTAGCTACCCTTATGAAGGGGGAGGAGAAATACAATGCTGAGCTATCTTAATCCCTGTCCTCACGAACTTAAAATATAAGGGGGGGTGGATAAGTTACAGATACAGATAAATAGGATACAAAAGGTTCCATAAGTATCAAAGTGCTATGTGAATGCGGCAATAAAGAAGGAATTACTTTGATGCAGTTGACAGAGAAATTTAGGAGTTGGTTAAATTTAGCACCAAGCTTTTTAGGAAGAGACATTCAACATGTCTAAAATAGAAGTGATTTCAGTTTCCCCTCTTTGAAGTCCATCCTCCCTTGGCAGCCAAAATTAGCTTCCTACGGCATAGATGTAACTGTTAAAGAGTCAAGAAGCATTTATGGTGTGCCTGGCATGTACTGCACTAAATGCTGGGAATATAAACACAAGCAGAAAGATAGTCCCTGTCTTCAAGGAGCTTACATCCTAATGGAGGAAGGCAACATGGGGGGGGGCAGGGACACACACGACAGGTACCCAGCAGTGCCACGGGAGGTAACAGTCCAGAAAGGAATGAAGACAAAGCTGGCCTGGGTTCTTTACTTTAAATGGAGGTTTTGAAAGGAACTGGCCAGTTAGAAGGGGGCAGAGTGTGCGTCTAGTGTGAGAAAACCAGGTGGAATGAAGTTTGAGAACAAGAAGGCTGCTGTGGAATGATGGAGAAAGTCCAGATTCAGGAGCAGAGCCCAGAGAAAAATGAAGGCTTAAGTGGCCTGAGCTCTTTCCATTCGCCTAACTGCTGCTAGGATAAAATGGAAGTTTCTCAACCTGGTTGGTATGCTGTATTCTGGCTCTAATAAATTTTTCAAGACTTATTTCACTTTCGTCCACTTTTGTAATGCTTCTTCTAGCCAAATTTATCTGACTGATGTTCCTGAATTCCACTTGCCAACTCCCACCTCTATCCCCTTGCCCAGGTATCTCCAAGTCCCACCTCCGGGTTTGACTGCACTTCTTCCCCACCTGAACTTCCTAGAATCCCTAGGATCTATTACTGTGCTTTGTACATAATATAAACACTTGTATATTAAGAAATCACAAACAATGGGGCAACTAGGTGGTACACTGGCCCTGGAGTCAGGAGGACCTGAGTTCAAATTTGGCTTCAGACACTTGACACTAGCTGTGTTACCCTGGGCAAATCACTTAACCCCAACTGCCTTGCCCCCCAAAAAAATTGCAAACAAAAATTCAGAGAAATGTGGGAGCATTTTATGATCTGATATGGAGTAAAATAAGGAGAACCAGAAGAGGCATATGCACTGACTATAACAACATAAGAAAAGTTGATACTAAAATGAAGTTGAGTGCTGAATGACTGAAAGCAATCATGGCTCCAGAGAAGTTAATGAAACATACTTTCTTCCTCTTCACAGAGATAGGGCTACCACAACAGATGGTTGTATACATTGTCAGGCAGTGAATATATCTGGTACTCCTACTCTTTTTAATAGGGAAGGGTATTTCTATGACTGTAATATAAAAAGAAAAGTTATCAATAAAACTTAGTTTTAAAAGTAAGCAAATGTTGAATGAATGAGTGTTCTTGCCTGCCCAACCTGTATCCTCCAGACTTCCTGTTAAGGGCATCATCAACCTTGAAGTCATCCAGGGATTAACTCTTCTCCCTCCCTGCCCCCAGTGCCATGCAGTGAGCAGCCAACTCTTATTAATCCTTATCACACCATCTCTTTCATCTTCTCTCCATTCACACAGGTCTACCAACCCTTAGTCCCTCAACTCATCTATGGTAATGGCCTCCTGCTTGATCTCCCTGTTTCCAATCTTTTCCATCTCTAATCCATGCTCCACATAGCTGCCAAAATAATCTTGTTAAAAGGCACAGCATAATGACAATAGCATTTATATAGTCTTTTAAGGTTTGTAAAGAGCTATAGGCATAGGTTAACTCAGTTGATTCTAAAAACTGTGAGGGAGGGGTTATGATCCTCATTTTACAGATTAGGAAACTGAGAGATTAAGTGATTTGACCAGGGTCACAGGAGTATCTACGGCAAAATTGAAACACAGGTCTTCCAGATGCCAAGTCCAGCACTCTTACCCACTTCAGCTTCAACTAACCACCTTTCTTCTGTTCAAAAGCCTTCGGCTGCCGAAGATAGAACAAGAAGGCATGTCAGGTGATCTAATCCAAAGTCCTTCATTTTAGAAATTAAACAGGCCCAGAGAAGGTATTTAAGCCTACAGTCACCCAGCTAACTATAGTCAAAGAACCAGAATTTGAACCCATATCCTTTGACAGAAATCCAGTGTGATGATTAAAAAGGTTTAAGAGACATAGTTTCTTTAATTTAATGTGATTTAATCATTTTACTAATAAGACCAGTAGGTTATTAATAAAAGGATGGTCATTTGGCCGTCTCTGTTAGACCACAAACAAACATGGCAGCGGGCTTATAATTTACATACCCTTTGAAGAGTAGGTGTTCAGTGAGGGGCAGAAAGTGACATGTCACCCTTGGACAGAGAAAATATCTTTATATCAGACCACTCCCAGCCTTGGGAAGCACTGAAGGGGTCTCGAGTGGAAAATGCTTAAGAAGTCCTGATCTAGACAAAAGGATCTGACCAAGACTGAGGAGAGTTAATTCAATCTTATTATTAGTAATGTCCTTCAAGAAACTGAACTGTTTAAAGCTAGGAATTTGGAAGAAGGGAAGAGCTCTGAATCTCCCCAAGATATTGGTTATTAATAATCATTTCTCTCACCAGCTCTCTCCATTGCATCCCATTTCTTCCTGGATAAAATGGAAACAACCCACTTCAAGTCCTCCCCAATTTGGCTCCAGTTACTTTTCCAGCCTGATCTTATGCTACTTCCCTTCACACTCATGTTCTAGCTAAAATGAAACACAGCAGTTGCTCCACTTAGCATTGTCTCCTGCCTGTCTACACAAAACATGCCTGTGCCTGGACTTCACTCTCTCCTCACTCCACTTCTGGATCTTTATTTCCCTCAGGTGTCACTGTGTTCTGAAGTAGAAAGGCACCAGGCTTCAGACTGTCAAGTCTGTCTGACTCTGTAACCTGGGGCAAGTCACCTCATCTCTCTGGGCCCCAGATTCCTTAACTGAAACTATGAGTGGGTTGGACTGATGACCTCTAAATGGTTCCTTTCAACTCTAATTTTCCATGTCTGTGATCTGTCCACTCCACCATCCTCTGTGAAGATTCCCTAAGTTAAGGGGCAGCTAGGTGGCACAGTGGATACAGCACCAGCCCTGGACTCAGGAGGACCCGAGTTCAAATGCAGCCTCAGACACAAAACACTCACTAGCTGTGTGACCCTGGGCAAGTCACTTAACCCCATTGCCTAGCAAAAAAGAAAAAGGAAAAAAGATTCTCTAAGTTGTATGAGATTTAGATTATTGGTGAATATTTAAGAGTTTTAGTAAATCACTGGAATTAATATCGATAGATCAGATTTGGATTTAATAGGCTTCAGTAGTAGAGTTTGTAAGAGTTGAGGTTCCCTAATTTTAAGGGCTACAAACTAGTCCTGTCTCATGAGGGAGATAAGGAAGATGGATGGAAGATGATTCAACCTGGTCAAATGTTTTGTCTAACACTGAGTCTCTTTGGTATTGAGTGGTATCTAGCATGGGACTGTTGCGGTCTGAGAGATTGAGACCCCTCAAAGACCAGACTACAGGACGGGTCATCTGGAATGAATTCACAGACTCAAGCATTCTTTAAGTCAAGGTGGCAAAGATTTATTGTTACACTTTTAAGCGGGCAAGGACTCTTAAGGAACCTGTGAGAGACTGAGGATGGAGCTAGGGTTTATATGGAAAAGGGCATGGGAAAGGAATGCCAGGGATACCGATGAGGTAATCTAAAGGTCCAGGTGTCTTTGGGAGCTATGGATGAGAAAGTACAGGGAGTATACCAGACAGGGAGGGAGATGACAGAGGTATGGCTCTTTGGAGTCTGGCAGGAGGAAGAGTCCTTGGGCTGGCCAAGGACAAAACTCTTGGGCTGGGCGAGGCACCCCTCTCCCTCTGTCTTGATGAGAGAATGCTCTGCAACAAGGGAAAGCTTTCTTACAAGACAGAAACTTACTAAGGAATTGGGAGGCTTCCAGAGACATGATCTGAGGGCAGGGGCCTGAGCAGCCCAGCACTCTCTCACCCAGCTTTGTGTAGCTGCACCTGGGAGAGAGATAAGGGTCATGGGTCATGCTGGGGCCCACGCATGAATAACTGCTAGGCACAGTGTCTTTGGGCTGGGGAGTGGTTGTCAGAGACAGTATTTCTGAGCCTAGGGAGAAATTGGGGTCCAAGTACAAACACAAGCACCCCATCAGGACTTTCCGGAGGATGTTGTTCAACTCTGCATTTTTCCCGTTGCTATAGATTCTGGAGAACCCGGTAACCTGGCTAATAAATTGATCATTCTTGGAAACTTGTGCCTCAGTTTCTCTTTATTGCAGATTTTTATCAAGATTGTTGTTACTTCTTTATCTCTCCTTAATCACTTCAGATTTACACATCTTTTTAGGTGTATCCTCATGTAAAGTAATGTAAGTCCACTGAGGGCAGGCACTTTTATTTTTGTATTCCCAGCATCATTCAAAGTAGGTAAATAGTGGGGCAGCTAGATGGCACAGTAGATAGAGCTCCAGCCTCAGAGTCAGGAGGACTAGAGTTCAAACCCGGCCTCAGACACTTGATACTTACTAGCTGTGTGACCCTAGGCAAAAGTCACTTGACCTCAACTGCCTCACCAAAAAAAAAAAAGAACAAACAAAACAAACAGAGTAGGTAAATAATAAATGTCTGTGGAATTTAACTGACAGAGATTTATTGTGAGGAAGGTGGAAGCTAATCCAGGACATAAAAAAAGCAAAGAGGTAGAAATGGAAAAATGATGCTGAAGGAAGGCTGCCTGTGCCATAAGAGACTTATTGAAAAGGAAGACTTTTTTCCTGTTTGAAAAACACTGATAGAAATTACTGCTTCACTCTCTAATGGCTAGGACTCTACTTGTGCCTTTTAAAACAACTGTGGCAATGTTCAAAAAATGTGATAACTAACAACTTACACATCTGTACAATACCTTTAGAAAAATAAAATCAGTAAATGTTGAGGGCTTATATACAGGACATTTACCAGACACTGCCACAGACAAGAGTTGCCACTTTTATTAAAAATTATATTCTCCAATTAAAAAAAATTTCTCTTTTGAAACTGGGTCTCTCTCTCTCACTCACACTGAAAGCACATTAGCCACTCATGGGTTCTATCCCACTTCTTTTTTTTTGGGGGGGAGGGCTATGCAATGGGGTTAAGTGACTTGCCCAGGGTCACACAGCTAGTAAGTGTTATGTGTCTGAGGATGGATCTGAACTCAGGTTCTCCTAACTCCAGGGCTGGTGCTCTATCCACTGTGCCACCTAGCTGCCACCCCCTCCAACTTTTGAAGTCCAACTCAGATCCCATCTCTTTCATACTACTTACTACTAGGCAAGGTACTTTAGCTCTCAGCTTCAGTTACCTCACCTGGAAAATAAGGAGGTTGAACTGGATGACTCTAAGTTTCCTTTCTGCCATAAATCTGATCTCTCAGATGGTAATGATCTTCCTTGAACATGACATCATAATAACTAACATCTATATGGCTTACTTTTTAATAACTTTATTCCATTCTGTCTTCTCCCTCTCTAGACTGCCCACTGTATCATCCCAACTCTCTCTTTTCTTCAATCTCTATCTACAGGCTACTGCCCTACTGCCTACAAATATGTTCATGTCTTCTCCATCCTCAAAAAACCCTTACTTGATCCACCCTTCCTTGCTGTCACCCTATGTCTCTTTTCTTTTTTGTGTGACTAAACTCTTTAAGAAGGCTCACTGTGATCACTGGCTCCACTTCCTTTCCTCTCACTCTCTTATTAGCTCTCTACAGTCAGGCTTCCAACATCATTGTTCAACTGAGACCTCAAAATTAGCAATGATCTTTTAACTGCCAAATCTAATGGTCTTTTCTCAATCCTAATCCTTCTTGGCCTTTCTACAGTCTTTGATAAAGTTAATCACCCTCTTTTCCTTCATACTCTCTTTAGGTTTTTATGACACTTGTCTCTCCCGGTTTTACTGTATGATTGCTTTTTCTCAGTCTCCTTGCTGGATCTTCATTCACAGCATGCCCATTAATCATGGGTATGCCCTTAAGGCTCTATTCTGGACTCTCTTTATTACTGCACTTGGTGATTTCATCAGTTTCCAAGAATTCAACTATCATCTCTATTCAGATGATTTTCACATTTACCTGTCTACTTCTCTCCTGACCTTTGTTCTTTCATCCTCAGCTACCTACTGGACATCTCAAACTCGGATGTCTCATGGACATCTTGAGCTCCACATGCCCAAAACGGAATTCCTTATCTTTTCCTCAATCCTTCCCGTCATCCCAGCTTCCCTATTACTGTCCAGGATGCCACCATCTTCCCAGTCACCAAGGCTCACAACTCTCTCTCGTTCCCAATAGCCAGTCAACTGCGAAATCTTGTTGTTTCTCACATTTCTTGATATAACCCCTTGTCTCTGACACTACCATCCTGCTGGTGCAAGCCTCAATCACACCTGGACTACTGCAATAGCGTGTTGGTGGATCCGTCTGCCATAAGTCTCTCCCCCTCCCCCTTTCAGTCCATCATCTACTCAGTTCTCAAATTAGCTTTCTTAACACAGAGATCTGACTTTCCTAATGCACACAATCTGGCTCCAGATTACCTCCAGGATCAAACATAAAATCCTCTATTTGTCTTCTACAAAGCCCTCTGTATTCTGGCCCCTTCCAATCTTTCCAGTCTTCTTACATCTTAACACCACCACTCCCTCAACCAGGTACTCTGCAATCCAGTGACACTGGCCTCCCTGCTGTTCTTCCGACAAGATAATCCATCTTCCACTCTAAGCACTTACACTGACTCTCCCCCATGCCTGGAATGTTCCCTCTCCTCCTCTCTGCCAACCTTCCTTGAAGTCTCAACTAACTCACCTTCTCCAAGAGGCCTCTCCCAAACCTCCTTAATGCCAGTGCCTTCCCTCTATTGATTTATCCTGTATACGGCATGTTTGTACACGGTTGTTTGCATGTTGTCTTCCCGCACTGGATTATGAACTCCTTGAGAGCAGGGACTGCCTTTTCAGTGTCTGGCACTGAGAACTTACTAATGGTTTCGGAGCGCTGTACAACTTTGTGAGTCAGGTGGTGCTACAAAGTGTACTTAACTAGCTTCTTTATCCCATTATGCCCACTTTAAAGATGATGAGAGATTGGAACCACCTTCCTCAGACGACTTTGAGGCTCTCCATATGCAGCCGCCAAGCAATACCGTGAACCTACATGCCGTGCGCCAACGATGAAAGCCTGCTTTCATTGTTCACACTTTACCAGGTCCTAGCACAGTGCTCTGCACCACGTCGGCGCTTACTACACGTCGGCGGAATTAGTCTCGGGACCGAGAGCACAAATCTTACTTCGCACGCGAAGCGGAAGGCTGGTGAAAGAGAGTCTAGCCTTAAAGCGCTCGCTTCCCACACAGGGAAACGTCTGCCGGCTCTACTTCCTCTTCCGGAAGAATGAACTTCCGGTTTTCCGCACGGCATTAATGGTGGGCGGATACTCCTGGCAATCGGAAGTCCTCCTAGGCTTCGAGAGAATCTTGCGCATGCGCTGCGGCGGGTGGGCGGGCGAGTGGACCTACCCGCATTGCTCTGCACCCCTTGGGCTCGCCACCGTCACGTGCCAGGGGCGCCGGGCGGGAAGCCGCGTGGCGGAGGCAGCAGTAACGACGGCAAGCCGTAAGTTCGGACGACTTCCGGTTCCGGTGTAACGTTCGGGCTCCGTCTCAGGGGCTGAAGTTTGTGAGGTGAGTAGCGGGCTCGGGCCCGGTGTGGCTGGCCATGGGGCCTGGGGGCTCAGCCTCCCAGCCCTGGCCGCAGTCAGAGCAGAATTGGAGGTGGCGGCTCGTTAGGCGAATGGGCCCAACGGAAAGTGGTCGAGGAGAGGTTTCTGAGGGGGAGTGGGGTGGCGGGGATTGTAGGGAGGAAGAGGGCGGGGGCGGGAAGGGGAAAAGAGGCTCAGGCTGAGGTGAGGTGCACGGGCAGAACCGGGGGGTGGGGGGAGAGTGGGCGGCTGGGAGGGAGTTAGGTCAAAGGGGAAAGAAGAGTATGTCTGGGGAAGCATCCCGAGAGGAGAAACGTAAATAACTGGACTGGAAACTTCCACCCTTCCTATTCATTGGGGGTCATTCGGACTGCCTAGTGGAGGTGGGGTGATTATCTTTGCTGTACTTTAAAATCTGTTGTCATCTGCCCAGTGACAGTGCCAAGTTGTACTCCCCAGAGCTGATTTGTGTGCCACCCACACCTATTGTTTTGTTTTCATTTCATATGAACTGGCATGTGGTGGTGAGGGTTTCGTTTACGAGCGTTCAGCATCATATCTAACCATTCCAGTCCCATAAACGCTACGGATGTGACGATGGCAATGTTTTTCCTTTTGTGGTTTTTAAAGTATTTACAAAAGAACGCTCTCTGTTTAACTTGGTCCTCACAACAATCCTCTGAGGATAAGCAAACCATTTTGTCTTAATCCCTGTTGTGCAGGTGGAATCCTGAAAGCCAGAGGAATTAAGTTGCCTATTCCCTACTCTTGGCAACAATACCAGGATCCCTCTCAGTACCACGCATGATATCATTCCCACTCTGTTTCCTTAATTCAGGAGTGTATATGGTCAAGTAGAATTTGGAAAACATAGTCTTTTTAAGCTCTGATTCCCAAAGCAGATTGAGATACTCCGGAGAGGCTCCTCTGTTGTCTAATTGATAGGTGAATAGGATTGTTGATGAGTTTTCTTTCAGCAAGATGGATGCTGGATACTCAAGGTTCAGAATGTCCTCTGTGTGGTTTTTCTCCTTTAGTTTCATTTTTTCCTCTGTGGCCTTTCTGTCTTGTTTTATCCCAAATTCAAAATCATAGCTTGGTGGCAGTACAGAGTGCGAACTTGTAAAGGCCTCCTCTGTCTTGAAATGAAGACATTACTCTATTTCTCATAGGGAAAAGATGTCTTAGGACACCCTAAAGAAGATTTAAATGAAGAAAGCTTTCAAGTGAAGAAAGCTAGAATTACAAATTGGACAGAAACTCTGATATATGCGCTTGCTTAGGTTTGAAAAGGCTAAATCAATGAGCAATTATTTTCTCCCACGTCCTGAGCACTGTGCCAGATGATATAGGGAGAATACATAAGAAAATGTCTTAGGTCAATGAATAGCTTCTGATTTAGTTAGACAAGTAAAAGTGTGAATATAAATGACAGCCCTGCTTAGTAGACTGTTGAGTCAGAAGGTCTATTGTTCAGAAGAATCCTCAGTGGTTTTTTTTTTCTCTGCTGAACTCAAGAATTAGGAGACTAGAGGGAAAGAACAGTCAGAAGAGAGGAAGGGTATGCATCCTCACTTCTATGATCCTTGTCTAGCAAGGTTATGTTCCCTTCAAGCACCTCATCAAAATGGTCTTTCATGTGAACTTGCATTATGAGAGGGTTGGTCATAGAGTTTTTAAATGAAATTGAGGTATGGTGGCATGAAGATAAAAATCTGTAAAGGAATGTTCTTAGAAGTTGTAAGCCTTAGTATGAAATTAGTGTTTCACCTTACCGTAAGTACTTCGTGACCCACTGCCCTGTGTTATGATCCCACAGAACAGGATTCTGCCAGTCAGAGTGAAGTTAGGGGAGGCCATGCCTGAGGCCACGAGATGACTTCTGAAAAACATCGTCTATATTTCCATATTATGTAATCTGCCCGGCTCTGTAGACGTAATAGTATCAGGGAGGAAGCTCCAGAATACAGTACTCGGCTTAGTTTCCCCAGGGTTAGTGTAAGAGATGCTCTCTTTTGGTTTTTCTTTACAGAGGTTGTTACCAGTGGGAGGAATAGGAATTTATCCGCAGTTGTAGTACAGTAACTTGCCCAGGCGTGTAGGAGGTAGCTGGGGAGAAGACATTTCTAATAAAATAAACATCACTATGTATTATTTTTGGTCTCCTACCCTTCCCAATCACTTTTTCATGATTCACTCATAGGTGCTGTGTTGAGTATCTAAGGTTGTCTCACTGTCCATTGTTCCTTCTTCTGAAGAATGGCCCTGTCCAAGAGGGAGCTGGATGAGCTGAAGCCATGGATTGAGAAGACAGTGAAGAGGGTATTGGGTTTCTCAGAACCCACAGTGGTCACCGCAGCATTAAATTGTGTAGGAAAGGGCATGGATAAGAAGAAAGCAGCTGGTATGTATTTTCTCTGGATCCCTGCATATGTCTCTCAGCCCGACACAAAGGACTGAAATATTTGAAGTGTTCTTGTTAGAGTTAAAATGATATTGGAACTTTGAAGGAAGAAGGCTCTATTTTCCTTGAGTTGCATAATAGGAATAGTCAATCTTAATTATTTGCTTTAGGATTACCTACTTAGTGTCCTTTGAATCTCCTTAGTCATGTGTGTTTATGATATGTTTTATGTACATAAAATGTTTATATATAGACAATTTTTGCTTTATGAAAATTTGCATTACACAAATTCAACTTTTTATAAAGAATTCTGAGAGAAGTCCCCATTCCAAAAAACACCTATGTTAACTTTACAATACTGCAATTTCTCTCTTTTCCACTCCTGCCCCTTGGCTTGGTGCTCCATGGCTTCCCCCCAAAAAAAATTTTTTTTAAAGCTTTCCAAGTGAAAGCAGAAGTATGGAGGTATGCAGAGATAGCCCTGCCACCGGATACAAAGCTTGGCCTGAGACCTCTGGCACCAAGAGAGAAGACCTTTGCCCCACACTGCCCACTTGTCCAGCCCTGTGTGTCTGTCTTCCATTTGTCTGTGCACGGGTACTGCATGTCTGTAGCTGGCCCCATGGGTCAGCCGTCTTCTCCTATCATTGTCTTTGTCTGGCCCCCCATTTCTACCCTCTCAGTTCTGTCCAGGCCCCTCCCTCCATGAGTACATGGCCCCCTACTTGCCCTCCTTTCCCCACATCCATGGGCAAATTCACATTAGGTAAAAAAATCACTTTGTGTAGAGGTCTGCAGAATGGTCTGCTTACATAAAGCAAATATTGTGTGTGTTTGTACACGTATAATTCTTTTAATAACTTTAAATATAATTAGAAAAGTAAGTCAGCTATAATAAAAACATCATGTTACATCTTCCAAAACCATATAGGCATAAATTTTTATTTACCTTGTACCCCTGATCCCCTCTATATCAATAATTTTTGACAGTGTAGAAAATCCTATAACACAATAGAGGAAACAAAGGAACTTTCAATAAAAATGTATCTGAAGTATCCAGGTTGAAGCCAAACCTTACAGAGTACTTGAGTGAAATTAAAAAGTTGGGAGATTTGGATTTTGCTAATGATGTGTCTCCCATGCCATCAGTTTAGTGCTTACCACTTGAGGGAGATTTTGAGTTTCTTCATAAGATTGGGTTATTGGACTGATTCTTAAAACACTCTGGTATCAATATCTTACTTTATCTTGCCTTTTCTTTTAAAGAATAATAATTGAATTCTGTTCCCTAGTAATCACAGGCTTTTTTTTGTTTTGATGCTATTTATCTCAGATCCTTCTCTGGGTGTTTTCTCTCTATGGTATTCATAAAGGGATTTGAAGCTAAAGGAGAATAATAACAACAATGAAGTTGTGAAAGTATTTGTGGCCCTGAAGTTTTCTAGTAACTTTTTCAAAACTGTCTTAATCATATTTTAAGTTTATTATTGTTTATTGCTTTTAGGATGTTGACACACATTCCTTGCGGCACGTATATTTTGTGGTTTTAATTGTCTGCATAGGCCCTTTGGAATAATAGGAAGGGGTTGAATTTAATGAAACTCTTAAATTGGAGATTTAGTTTGCTCAAGCCACATATCCTTATATTAATGTAATATGGAATTCTCTCTTGAAAAATAGGTCACACAAATTCCCATGATTCTTGACCATGAGGTAGTTTTTATCTGGAACTCAGACTGTTGCCACTTTCCACTCCATGAAAACTATAACCTACATTTCTGCCTCATAAACCATAAGAAAAATGTCTCCATAAAACACTGCACTTAAGAGAATCCCACAGAAAAAATCAAGAACACTCTTTTGGGTGGAGAAGAATAGTTGATCTAGGCACTTTGTACTGTTAGTACTAAATCACTTCATTTAATAGATGCTTTGGAGAGCCTGAAGTATATACAGAACTGTTTTAAACTCTCAGACCTTTCAACTTCTACCTTTTTCTTCACCAGATCACTTGAAGCCTTTTCTCGATGATTCTACCCTTCGGTTTGTCGACAAACTGTTTGAGGCAGTGGAGGAGGGTCGTAGTTCCAGACATTCCAAGTCTAGTAGTGACAGGAGTAGAAAACGAGAGTTGAAGGTAGGTTTTGGTTGGCTGATTAAATGGCATGGGAATATTTTCAGTGGTAACACTAGCAGCTAAACTTTGTGTGATCACACACATAGACACAATAGAATTCCTAACATTCAAGAGAAAGCTCTAGGCTGTAGAACAGACAGTGAATTTGTTTTTATACCACCTTTGATTTTTTTTCTTTAGTTTATGGTGGTGAAACATGGAAACACATCATGAGGCAAACACTCCAGAAAACCAGTAGTTTTACCCTTTACATACATAGTTGTGCTGTAAGATAAGGAATTATTGGTGTCCATCTCTTCACTTTTTCTTCTCACCACCTGTAATAAATAATAGCTTCTTCCTAGGGTTTTGTGATTTTGTTTTTTCCCTATTTGGGTCCTAACCTGTTGCCTCTGAGTCTAGGTCCATTGCTTCCCTGAGATACAGCTTTCATTGTTATTAGTTTTTAAGGAATTCCTAGTAGAACTTGTGGCTGGTGTTCCTGAAAAATAAGTATCGAATATGCATTGAGCATACTTGTTTTCCATAGAACATACCACCAAAGATGCTCTCTTCGGGGAGCTCATAGCTAAGGGACACCAGTTTCATGGACAACCTGTAGTTTTCTGCTCCATTACTTTTTATTTTGGGTTCCATATAGGTGATGCCCCCTTTTTTTTCATCAGCAGTAGTCCATCTGCTGGTCTTACTTGGCTTAAATTTCTTTTCTTCTTGCTTTTTACTTATTTCTGTAAATCCCGTCACAGAATCTCCTGTTTCCCTATCCTTCCAAGATATTTTAATATTTTGCTGTTTTGGCCATGCCACCAGCATTACCAGGTTGTAGAGAAGGGTAAGGAATTTTCTCCCAGCCCCACAGCAGCCAGGATACAGAAAGACCTAGACCAGAGAGAAATAGTGAACACCACATACCTTTTATATGTAGGGCTCTAAAGAAATATAAAGAATATTGAGAAACTTGAGAAAAATCATAGTTTAATGGGGAGATAGAACATAGATGTGAGATGCCAAGAGAGGTGTAAAATATTTAGCTGTTTTAAAGTACAGTGGAACCCCTTTATAATGTTGGTGTTGGGGGACAGGACTGATACCTACCTTATGGGCTATCATACTTTTAATTTTGTTATGTTTAGGGGACTTGACAGAATCTGTATAATAGTAGTTTACATTATACTGGGGCTCTACTGTATGTGTATAAATGCTGAAAATATGCTAGAATGAATGAAGTAATCAGAGTTGGGTGGTATTAGTCAAGAAGTCTTCCTGGAGGAGATGTTTTAGCATCTTTATGCTTAAGGAACCTTGGGACAGAGGTCCCACTTTTGGTCCCCTTAGGTCCCTATTCCCACACACTATATATATTATGGGAGAGTCCTTTCTCTTGAACTGTAGGAATTCCAGGAAGCGCCCGCCCCTGACTGAGGATATGTCCTTGCAAAACACGAGCCCTCCTAGTGAAGAGGGGATGTCACCCAAAGCCTACCACCGGTGTGTACATTTGCTTTTTCCCATTGCCCCTTCCACTTGGCCGTTGTTGGCCATGTTAAACTCACTTTGAAAAGTAGACAATCAGTGTCTTTTGTGTGCTGGGCCTTGAACTGAGTGCTGTGGGGGAGTACGAAGGAACAAAGAGTTTTTGCCCTTGAAGAACTTAGATCTAGTTGGGGAGCCAGAACACATACACATGATAAAGAACACATACCAAGCAGAATGTCAACAAATGCAACTTAGTATAGCTCAAACATTATACATACATGCTTGAGGGTATAAAACAGAGGTGTAATCAGAATTAGGTGAGGTTATTAATCAGCAAAAGCTTCCTGAAGGAGGTGAGTTTTGAATAAGATTTTAGGAGTGGTGGGATCTGAGTTGGTGGAGAGGAAGAGAGGGAGGATGTGTGAGCAATGGTATTTATAAAGACAGAGGTGGAAATTTGCTTGAATGGACCAGAGGATCTGTGTAGGAGAGTAATAAAGGTGGTAAGATGGAGCTAACAGTTGATGGAGGGCCTTCAAGGCTAGGCTTACCCCTGGGTCTTATCAAGTAGCTATCTGCAAGGCTCTGTTATAACCCCCAGGGCAAAGCCACACAAAACTAATTGGGTTGGGGGTATGATGGCATTTTGTCACTAAGAACAGAAAACAAATCTGCCTCTTGTTTTGGCTTCTCCCAGGAGGTGTTTGGTGATGACTCAGAGATATCTAAGGAGTCATCGGGGGTGAAGAAGAGGCGTATACCAAGGTTTGAGGAGGTGGAGGAGGAGCCAGAGGTAATTCCTGGACCACCGTCTGAAAGCCCAGGAATGCTGACCAAATTACAGGTTAGTGACAGACAGAAGAGGTAAGTAGTTTGTGAATTGAGGATTGAGGGGACATGAATCTAGATCCAACGTGGCCTTGAATTGAGATTTTGTTTAGCTGCTAGGAAAGTGATGTTTCCTTTTGCTGTTCAATATTCTTTATGGAGTGAAGCATTATAGTCAGGTAGCCAAAAAATACCTACTACTTATGGTTCTGGGTGATGTGGAAAAGGAGGTAACAAAGCCTAAAGGTCATGGTTTTAGGACAGGAAATAATATGCTTTAAGCTCTCACTGCCACACATTATATTACTTTAAAATGAAATTGAGGTTTTAACATTTAAAACATTTTAAAGGCTTAAAAGAAATTGCCCACAGAATTACTGTTATGGAAAATGTTAACATAAAAGCAGGCGTTGTCTTTGATTCCTGAAACTTTAGTGTTCCAGGCTTCTTTTGAACAAGAAGAATACTTCAAAGATGGAGTATAGAGTGGGGTGGGAATCTTTGAAGTAAGGGGGAAGGATGTGCTCTTGTACTCTGGTCTCAGAAGGAGGCAGTTTGGGCACACTTAGCAGATATTTGCCAAAAATTCACATCCACATCTTTGCATTTACCAAATTTTCCACAAAACAGCTTGAGATTATCAGGGCTCAGCTAGATATTGGAAGTTCCTTGCGACTTAATCTTCTGTAATAGGAAGGAAGGAAGATGGTATTAACCACTATACTTTGTCTGCAGATCAAACAAATGATGGAGGCAGCCACAAGGCAGATTGAGGAAAGGAAAAAACAGCTGAGCTTCATTAGTCCTCCCACCCCTCAGGTATAGTAGTCACTGCCATCAAAAAGAGCTGAATCCCACATTCCAACAATCTCCAGCAAACATCTGTTAAATGCCTAGTCTTTGCATATTAGTAACAAGTATTAAATAAGACATTGTTTCTGTTCACATGAAGCTTATAATCTAGTAAAGGTTACAAAAATAACTACAACAAATAATACGTAGTGTGTAAAAGAGCTGGAACTCATTTAGTACTCCTTGGAGAGGAGGACTTTAGTGACAAGGAACATTGGGAAAGACTTTTGGTAGAGACTTCAAGAATGGGTATGATTTCATCTGTAGAGATGAGGTGGGTTCTTTTTAGTACAATGAGCAAAGGCATGGAGATGAGATGGTACAGGATGTGTAGAGGATATAGTGACTACCCTTGTTTGGCCAGATTATATTGCCATGAATGGGGCAGTGTATGAAAAAGCTAGAAAAGGTGGAGCATTGCTAGATTGTTCATTGCATTGAATGCCAGCCTAAGAAGTTGTAACTTTTAATTGTCAGTAGGCCACCATTGAAGGGTTTTGACCACCCATGTATATAAATGAGGTTAATCTGGTAGTAGTATGAAGGGTGGCTTGGTGGGAGGGGAGCGTATTGAGGAGGGAAAGTGAGTTACGTAACTCTTACAGTATCACTTGGTTGCACATCCAGGTATGGTGGCATTTTTTGGACCCAAAACCTGATAAATCCCATCTGAAATTCAGTGAATCTCTATTCCCTCCCCTTTTAACTTTGTCTTTTTTTCCTGTACTTCTCATAGCCAAAGACTCCTTCCTCCTCTCAACCAGAACGGCTGCCAATTGGCAATACTATTCAGCCTTCTCAGGCTGCCACCTTTATGAATGATGCCATCGAAAAGGCACGGAAAGCAGCTGAACTACAAGCTCGGATCCAGGCTCAGCTGGCACTGAAACCAGGACTTATTGGCAATGCCAACATGGTTGGATTGGCCAACCTTCATGCTATGGGCATTGCTCCCCCGTGAGTACTCGCTTTCCTTTTGGACCCTTTGCTCTTTTTGAAGGTAACAGTTGAGAAAAGCCTTTGGCATTCTTTGACATTATTTCTTCAAAACAACCTAAATTGTTTTTCAAACACTGTTCAAAGATCCATGTAAGTGATGGGTAAATATCTGTTGAATTTGTCCTGAATCCCTAAGGGGGCAAGAATTATTCTTATTTTACAGATGTGAAAAATGAAGTTATGGTCACCCAGAAGGTTTTCAAATCAAATTAGAAATCAGGTCTTTTTGCCCAGGGCTCATTTCATTAAACTAATTTGTTTTAAACCAGACCAGTGTTCTAAACCATTTTGAAAAGCTGCTTGTCGTAAGTCCTCTTTTAATGGCTGGAATGAGTCTAGATCAGTGTTAGGAATCAGTTTTCACCGCCTTGTTTGATCCTAATTAAATGGGATAGATGAGCTTTAAGAAATTCAGTTTACAGGGGCAGCTAGGTGGCGCAGTGGATAGAGCACCGGCCTTGGATTCAGAACGACCTGAGTTCAAATCTGGCCTCAGACACATAACACTTACTAGCTGTGTGACCCTTGGGCAAGTCACTTAACCCCCACACCGCCCAACCAAAAAAAAAAAAAAAGAAATTCAGTTTACAAGACAGTTATAATTCCATATAACCAGTTTTATAATTTATGGATCTTTTTGTTATTATAATTTATGCCCCATATTAGATTATTCAGTTTGATTAGTTATAATTGAGGTATTTCTTATTACTTATTGAAGATAGCATGAAACATCTTAAAATTTCTTAATCTAGCTCTTCCCTAGGGTTCCAGATAAAATTGTAAATTGGGCTTTTTTTCCTACTCCCCCTTTTCCTCCCAGGAAGGTGGAGCTGAAGGACCAGACAAAGCCTACACCCCTGATCCTGGATGAACAAGGCCGAACAGTAGATGCTACAGGCAAAGAGATTGAGTTGACACACCGAATGCCAACACTAAAGGCTAACATTCGGGCTGTGAAGCGAGAACAGTTCAAGCAGCAGCTCAAGGAAAAGCCATCAGAGGATATGGAATCCAACACATTTTTTGATCCCCGAGTCTCCATTGCCCCTTCCCAGCGCCAAAGACGTACCTTTAAGTTCCATGACAAGGGCAAATTTGAAAAGATTGCTCAGAGATTACGGACAAAGGTAACTGGTGAGAAAGCTTGAAAAAATTCAGGAAGCTAGCAGAAAGGAAATTAGAATGTTTATAATATAGTTGCTACTAAATTATTCGTGTATTGCAGGGCAGCAGCCATACATTTCATAGTTTTATGTTGGATTTGCTTAATTATATTCTCATTAGGCTGATATTAAATTGAGTTTGCACTCTCTGAGAACATACCACCTGATGAGGTTAAGCTGCAAGGTTACAGCTCAAATGGGAAAAGCTAATTTAGGATTAAAATTTGCTTCAGATGATCTGCATGATGTGGATAATTGAATGGACTATAAGTTGCAAAAGATCTATTTCCCCCTTTCTGTCCATAGTGAATTTTCATGGGAATTTTTGGCTGAATGTGATGGCTCTGATTCAACAAGAATTTATTAGGAGCTAGGCATGGTGTTTGGCACTGAGGACACACATAAAATAAAGCTGCCTATCCTCAAAAAGCTTACATTCTGTTGGGGAAGAGGGAAGACAACCTATACAAATACAAATAAATAAATATAAAATATAAAAAGCAATTTCCAAGGGGACAACACTGTCTTAATGTAGAGAGCAGTTTGTTAATAATAGATTCTAGAGGGCACACTGGCAGGATAAAAGAGTTTGGTTAGAGATATGGGAGGAGGCATGGAGTTGATACACATGACTATGAGGGAGAGCAGGGAGTAAATGATAGGAAAAAGGAGCTTCAGCTGTTCTACAACTCTTGATTTTGAATGGAACTTTAGATCAGTAAATTGTCATACCCTTCACAGTAGCAAAAATAATATTGCCTTGGTTTTCAGTTCCTGAGAAAGAGGTGGAATGTGGGGGTATGGGGAAGAGTTGACTAGTCAAGGCTGGGGTCAGTGGAGTCCTAGAATCAAGCTGATTAGAAAAAGAAATGAAACATGCTTGAAGTACTCGATCTCAGCCAGGTCAGCCGTACTGTTGACCTACTCTTTTGCTGAGAAGATTGTCTTCCCCAGGTTGGGGCTCTGATATATGCATAAATGCTAAAGGTACACTAAAGTGAATGAAATGATCAGAGTTGAGTCAGATTAGTAGAGAAGTCTTCCTGAAGGAGGTGATTTAGCAGCTTTACATTTACATAGTCCTGGGATACCCAGGCTCTCCCCTATTCTCCCTATTATGTAAATCTCTTAAACTGTTAATAATGTTAATAAAGGCTGTGGAAAAATCATTGGATTTGTTGTCAGAAGCCATGGGTCCAAAGCCTGGTTCTGCCACTTACTATTTTCATCTTTGGGCCTCAGTTTCCTTATCTGTAAAATGAGAGGGTTGGATTATCTTTTAAGTCCAGTTCTAAATCTGTGATTCCCCCTAAGGAACTCAAAAGCTTTTTTTTTTTTTGTGGGTCATGAGGTATTAGAGGCACTTCCATGCACAAGTCTTTCCTGGTGTCTTGGGTGTACAATCCCCAAACAACTTCAGCGTTAAGATCTTTCAGGGTCCTAGAACCAATGGGCAAATGTAGACTGTGCAATTGCAAGTGTAGATCCAGCCACCATTTTTCACACTGATATGCCCAAGCCTGCAGTACCTTTCCTTAAAATAAGAATGCCAGAGAAGACTACATTTTGTTTATCTTCAGTGAAATTCGTTGCTTCAGGGTCAGTGTCATTTTCCCACCGTCTCTGTTAGATGCTAGGCACATTAGAATAACAATACATCATGGGAGCACAGTAGAACAATGGTATCTAAGGCATTCAGCTACTTCTGGGGTATGTGATTTAGAGTTGAGCCTTGAAGTCATCCAAGTCCTGGGTGTAGGCTTCTGGTCTTCCCCTTCTGGTGAGTTGTAGTAGCCTTTGTCCTTGAATCTTTGGGAATTTACTAAAGTGGTCAAATGGTAGTGAAAAGACAGCCCAAAAAGTGAAATGTTTTTAAAGACAGGCTTCTTTCACCTACCAAATTACCGTGACTTCAGCTTCCTCTTGCATCTGTGTTTTCTGATTCTCAGGCTCAGCTAGAGAAGCTGCAGGCGGAGATCTCACAGGCAGCCAGAAAAACTGGCATCCATACTTCAACCAAGTTGGCGCTCATTGCTCCTAAAAAAGAACTAAAAGAAGGAGAGATTCCTGATATTGAGTGGTGGGACTCCTACATTATCCCCAATGGTTTTGACCCGTGAGTTTACTAGTTAACATTTTTTGAGATATAATCTAAATGGGGGAGATGAGACATGTGAAAAAAATTCAAAGCATACATTTAAGGATTATAAATAAACATGTATATGTAAGTTCATTTGTAGTACAACCGTCAATCTTCATTTTGGCTATGGAGAAAAATAAGTTTAGGTAATTTGAAGCTGTAGATAATCAAAAATAATGTTTTTCAACCTGTTTACTTTTCTAATTATGTTCTTAATGCACTAACAGTAAAGTCAATTTGTATTTCTTAAATACAATTGATTAATTACATAGTTCACCTAGATATATAGTAGTCAAATTGTGATTAAAAATTAGCATTTGGCAGTATGTAGGGAAGATGGCACGATCCACATTTTATATAACGAGCACATAAATACTAAAGAGGTGCTTGAGTGAGTGTAGGGGAAGTCTTTGGGAGTCCCACTTCTTTGAAATCATCTCTACTCACATATCCTTGTTTTCTTCTTCTTTCCCTAATTCTAGTACAGGGGAAGCACCCAAGAAAGAGGACTATTTTGGGATCACAAACCTTGTAGAGCATCCAGCCCAGCTAAACCCTCCAGGTAAAGTGTAGATCATTTACCCACTTTGTTAATGGGTTGTTCTTTTTCTCCTCATCCTGACTTAATCATAATCTGACTACAAAGAAAGAGAAAATAATTGGTGCCATAGTCAGTGCTTCCCTAACCTATTCCTTTGTATTCAATCTTTCTAGCTTTGCTTTAGATGAAATTGTTATTGCTGGTTCCAGATCTCTGAATGTTATCTTGAGTAGCTTATTGTGGTGGGGGCTCTACCATCTATGTTTAATGGCTTTGGCTGGGGAAAAGTCCATTTGTTGAACATATCTTTGCACTTAAAACACCCCTTTTGCCTTAATAGTAAGCTGGACTTTTTCTGGCATCGTGGCTCCAGCTCATGTTCCACACTGATCTCTATTCACTTTCTGTACTTTCCTTTCTTCCCCTTTTTTGTTTTGCATTATCAGTTTGAGAAATCATAGAGTACATGAGGTATCTTGAAGATCGAGTCTGGCCCTCCCTTTTACAGATTAGTAAACTCAGGTCCAGAAAGCATGCAATTGTATGGTAGAAACTAGTACACTGGACTTTGCAGGCCTGAGTCCTATCCTTTGTCCTTCAGTGAGTCCACTAAAGTTTGGTGTTTAGTTTCATTTAATCCAGTTTTCCCCAGTTACTTCTAACATGAGTCATCTAGACTTTAAAAGCAGATTTTTAATTTTTGTTTTTTTAAGAGAGAATAAAGAAGCATGCAGGTGCCCAACACTGAACATTGCACCACTCCCCTCTTCCTTCTTTCTCCGTTCTAAAGGGAGCTGCAGAGTTTCGTTCAATCTCTGTAACTGTCCAGCTGCAGTAAATATCTTCTAGGCTGAGATACATTCTACCCCCTACATAGGCTTAACTGTGCTTCACATTAATACGGGCTCCTCTAATCTGCCTCCCTCTCTATGCTTCTCTTAACAGTGGACAGTGACACGCCAGTGACATTGGGAGTGTACCTCACCAAAAAGGAACAGAAAAAACTTAGGCGTCAGACACGGAGGGAAGCTCAGAAGGAGCTACAAGAGAAAGTCAGGCTGGGTTTGATGCCTCCTCCTGAACCCAAAGGTGAGAACTCTTAGGGCAAGGGGGAGAAGGATGGCAGCATGAACTATTTTATCTTGGTAATTTTCAGTATTTCTTCTTCCTTGCCTTGACGTTTACTAGAGGACTACTATGTATGTACAGAAGGTCATATTATGCAAAATTGTATTCACTTTTTTCCTTTTCCCTTCTCTTCCAAGTTTTCACAGTATGAGTGAATTTATTTAAAGTAACTTATTTACTTATTTTCCAGATGTTTAGAAATCTTTTGTTAAGAGTTATTTAAGAATGCTATGTATTGTATTGAGCTTTTAGGAGGAAAGGTGCTTTAAAAATTCATTAAGAAGAATATCAAGTCATACTGGAGATCCCTTCTCTCTTTGCCTGTGTTGCCAGGACAGGAGGACATTCCATAGAGAGAGAGAGAGACATCCTCTTTGACATCAAGCACTTTTCAGTCTAGCTCAAGATTCAGTACACAGGGAGAGAAAAGTTCATTCCATAGTCAAAACAAAGCAACAAGTTAGCTGCAATGTAATTTAGCTTAGTGTTAATTTGCTACATAAACTGAGGAAATGCAGAGGGAAAAGTTACCCTATCATTGCATTTATTAGGAAATACTCTTCCAGGTGTTTTAAATGGTATTGGGGACATAGGTTAGAGGAAGAGAGATAGGAAAGGCTGTCTCAGCTGAAGAAATGACGTGTAGGCAACACTGTTTTGTCTCTGATGCAGTAAGAATTTCCAACTTGATGAGAGTATTAGGCACAGAAGCTGTTCAAGACCCCACAAAAGTGGAAGCCCACGTCAGAGCCCAGATGGCAAAAAGACAGAAGTAAGTGCCCTGGAACAAGGTGGGGACCTCGGGCAGGGTTCTTTTTCACACTGTGGGATAGCACGTTGGATTTTGGCCTCCCTTGGGGGACTGGTAGACGGAGGAGGGGAGAGTCCTCTGTTGCTCTCTCTTTCCCTCAGCCCTGCCTCTGGTCTTCAATGCCTTTCTTACTTGTGGATGTCCTTCCTGTCACGACAGAGCGCATGAAGAGGCCAATGCTGCCCGAAAACTAACAGCAGAACAGAGAAAGGTCAAGAAAATTAAAAAGCTAAAAGAAGACATTTCACAGGGGGTACACATATCTGTATATAGGTAGGTGTCTTTGTTGGGCCAGTGTTGCCCACGTAAATATCAAAATAGTATGACAAACCAATGCTTGGGGCGGTTGGTACAGTCCACAAAGCTTTCCTAACACCAACCCCAGTGTTAAATTAATGAAGTTAGGGGCTTAAGAGCTTTAATAGGAGTGGGATTGGACCTGGGAAGTAAAATTTCTGTTGTGATTTTAAATTCTTCTGCCAGTGTAGTAAAGTCTTTTTTCTTTGACTTTGGGTCAGTGAATTAGTATTGATCTGCTAGGCTGAATGAACAAACCTCTTACAACCAGATTATAAACTGGGGCTGCTCATCCATTTTTAGAACTTAACATTTCTGGTTTCATTTCACTTAGAACAACTTTCAAGAAAGTACTGATAGCCCTGCTTCCCTCACCTTCATATTGATTTTTATCATGTCCTACCATTCAGCTATTACAGTTATACTCTCCTACTTCAAAATGAATTTATTGCTGACTCACCAAGAAAAATTTGTGGAGTACCTTCTGTTTCTGGGGACTGTTAAGTGATGTGGGGGGATAGAGATATAAAACAGTTGAAATACTTTTAAGAGTTCATTAATTATGCCGTTTAAACAATCAGCAGTTTTCCATATGTAAAGACAAAAAAAGCTTTTTGTTTTGTTTTTGAGAAACAAATTTGGAAAAATCCGTATTTGGACGTGTAGGTTTATTTTTCCACTCCATTTAATCAGCTGCTAACACTTAAGTTAAAATACATAACCACACTTTCCCTGTCTCCAGAGTACGAAATTTGAGCAACCCAGCCAAGAAGTTCAAGATTGAGGCCAATGCTGGGCAGCTGTACCTTTCAGGGGTGGTGGTGCTTCACAAGGATGTCAACGTTGTGGTGGTAGAAGGGGGTGAGTTTGGATTAAGGGGTCAAAGAAGTATACCGAGGATACTGAAACCTAGATCGGGGATGGGGGGGAGAAGTATTTGAGAGGCACATCTTGGAGCAAGACCCTCTAACCCTATCTCTTAGTATCCTGGTAGTAGAAGACCCATAGCTTAGGGTAGTACCTACAGGGGTTGTACCAATCATCACATTAAAAATTCTGGACATCACATGGGCTCAGAGGGTCTTTCTATTACCACTTTCCTAGCCCAAGTCTGGGGAGGAAAGAGGGGGGTAAAAATTCTGTCTCCTCTCTTTCTAGGCCCTAAGGCTCAGAAAAAGTTCAAGCGTCTAATGCTGCACCGGATAAAGTGGGATGAACAGACATCTAACACGAAGGGAGATGGTGAATGGGGGTTAGAGGGGTAAATGGGGGAGGAGGGGGTAGAGAATTGGGAGGGGAGGGATGGGGCTGAGTATTACATCTCACTTCTTTACCTTTATTCCCCCAAAATTGGGTGGAATATTAATTTGGGGAAAGAGTTACTGCCAGTGTCATAATTATTCACATGACATTTATTTTGCTTCACATACGCAATTAACTTAATTATCTGCCTGGTCTTCAAAGATCTTCTACAACTTGATTCCTGTGTTGCAGTTGCCAGGGCACTCTGCTTTGTCATACGCGGATACTGTTGACCCTTATACACAATTATCTGGCCACCAATTCATGGGCCTGTGCATATGCCTCGTGCCTTGCAATGCTTTGCCTCTCCACAACGTCATATCTTTTTCCCATCCAGCCCCAAAACTTGCTACCCAAAGCAATATACTTGATTTATTAACTGCCTACGTTTTGATAGCTCCTTTACTTTGCACTCTTCAAAGAATTAAAATATTCTGTTTGCATATAATTTGTTTAATGTTGCATTTTAAAATGTTCCTAAAGTTTTCCTTATAACATGGTAGTAATTCTATTAAACTACAACTTCCCTAAGAGTAGAAAATGTTCCCTAAGAGTAAAAAATATATTCTATATCTTAGAGGAAGTATGATACAGCTGAAAGAGTGCTAGATTTGGAAGCAAGATGGACCTGGATTCAAATTCCCTTTCAGACACTAGCTGTCTGATCATTGAGCAAGTCACTTAACCACCCTGAGCCTCAGTTTCCTCACTTGTAAAATGGGAATAACACTTAAGGTTGTTGTAAAGGTCAAATGAGATAATGTGCCTAAAGTGTTTTGTAAATCTTAGTTACACACACACACACACACACACACACACACACACACACACACACATACATACATACATTCATTCATTCATTCATTCATTCATTCATCTATTTTTATTTTTTGTGCCAGGTACAAGATTTCTTTATTTGACTTGTTGAAAGTCCCTACTTGTTTGGAGCTTTCAATTCAATTTATGAACAGTACTCTACATAACTTACATTTGATGATAATAACAATAGTTAGTGTTTAATATAGTGCTTTAAGGTTTGCAAAGCACTTTATAAATACCTCATTTTATCCTCACAAACCTGGGAGGTAGGTGCTGTTCTTATCCTCATCTTAAGAGATAAAGAAACAGATACAGAGGGGGATTAAGTGGCTTGTCCAGTGTCACATAACTAGTAAGTATCTAGGCTGGTTTTAAACTCAGTGTCTTCATGACTTGAGGTCTAGTGCATCACACTGTGCCACATTTGGAGAAGAGGAAGCATTTAAATGTGGCTGTCTTGAATATTTTTAAAAGGTGATGTGAAGCTTAGAGGATTTTTCAATGGCAGTTTGTAAAACTGTACATCTGGGTCTGTTTGGAGCCAGGCTTAGCCATGTTGTCTTTTCTAGATGATGATGAGTCTGATGAGGAGGCTGTGAAAAAAACCAACAAGTGTGCATTGGTCTGGGAGGTAGGTGGTTTTTCCAGTAGCTTTTTCTGAAATACCAAATCAGAAGAGATTTGTGTCAGAAATCAGTTCTAAATTGTGCTAATTGAGGGAGCATTGAGGTCATCAGTCTTCTTTGATACCTCAGTGGATCTCTGGTTTTGTTGATGGGGATACTATACCTCATCCTTCCAGGGCAGGGTCATGGCTGAATTATGGAAGGTCCACATTGTTCCATGGCTCCTCTAGATTTCTTTACACTGTGTGGGCATCACTAGAGCACATTAACCATCCACTCATTATCTCTAGCTCTCACTGCAGGACTAGCCCAGCTGCATTTTCCATAATGTATTTTTTTAACATTATGTTTTACAGCATTTTTCCTGATTTCTTAATTTCTTATATTATGATTTACTGAGGTCTAGTATTGGTTTCCATTGGGGGGATGTAACATTTTTATTCTTCAGATGTTGTGGTCCATGTTTAGCAATTATTATAGCATTGGCAGAAGAATGTTGGTGTTAAAAAATGGATCTTTGTTTCAGGGATTGGATTTGGGTCTTTTAAAAAGCACTATTTGATTTCCCAAAGATTAAGTCTTATTTAATTCTGAGACTAGTTAATTGTCCATCTCCAGCCTTTGACGAAGATATATTATGTACTCATGTATTAAGTCTCTGGCTTGTCCATCTACCTATCATAGCCTGTATAAATTAGTCATTATTCAAACATTTTTTTTCCATATAGAGAAGTAGGCCAAATTCTTTAAAATAATTATGGGTTTCATTTAGGAGGCTATGAAATGTTCTGGGGCTTTATATAATACACAGTTCTATCTACAAAGAGGATCATTTGAAAGTATGTCACCATCTATGGAGAATTCCTCTTCCATTTGGACTCTTGTGTTGAACAACCTCCACAAGAGCAGCAAACACCTTTTGGCAAGCATACTTTGATATTAATAATTGGCAGATTGTTTGAGTTCTCTCTTAAATCTTTCATCTTGTGTGATTTTGATACATGCATGGGAAACATTTTGGTTAAGGAGAGCTTTTAAATTGGTGTTCTGTTTTACAAAATATACAGTTAGCAAACAATGCATACAGCAGAATCTTATATTCTTTACAACAGAGATGTCAAACTTCCCCCACAAAAAACTCCTAAGTAGGCCTGAACCAGATTAAAATATAATTGAGGACTGTTTAACAAAATAAAAGTGCAACAGAACATAGATAATGTAATTTGTGGTTTTCTAAGTCAATATGTGGGGCATAGGAATCAGTTTCTGTTTGAATTTGATACTAGTGGTCTATATATTTCAGTCAGTTCTGACTATAAAGGTGGTCTTCTGTAAAATATCCTTTGTGAAAGGAAATCTGTTCCTTTCATACTGTCATCAAATATTCCTTTGATGTATGTATAGATCACTCTGAAAAGTTTTTTACCACATGGGTCAATAGTTATTGATTTTTTTTTCCAAACAGCCAGCATTTTTATTTTTTTAATTTACTTGCCACTTGCACTTCCCACCAACCACCTCAATGAAGAGAATTAAACAAGGGGAAAAATTCCCTGAATCCCTCAATACCAAAACCAGTTAGCCATGTACAGAAATGTATCTGCCTCTCTGCATTTAAGATCATCAGCGCTGTCAGGAGAAGAATGGTGTGTTTTATCTTATTTTTTTTTACTCGTGGCTTATTATTGTGTTAATCAGAGTTCTAAAGTATTTCAAGTTTTTCTCTATTGTAATTCTGTAAATTGTTTTCCTAGTTCTCCCCACTTTGCATCAATTCATAAGGGACTTCTCAGTTTCCCATGAAATTGTTCTTATGACACAGTAATAGTCCATTATATTCATTTATTACAGCTTATTTAGCCAGTCCCTTAGTTTCCAATTTCGGGCTCCCACAAAAAGATCTTTTAAAAATATTTTTGTACACATAGGTCCTTTTCCTCCTTTTATTTCTTTAGGCTCCATATTAGGCCTAGGATAGCTGGGTCAAAGGGTATGATAGTTTGATCATTTTCCTGGGTATAGTTCCAAATTGCTTTCCAGAAAGGCTAAACATCTCCACCAAGATTGTTCTAATATACTTGTTCTTCCACAGTCCCTTAAACATTTGTCCTTGTCTTTTTTTTTATCATTTTGCCAGCCTTCATGAGATGGAAAAAGGAAGTAAGGAAGAGCATGAAGGACAGCTTGTGCAAATGGGTGGTGGGAGATGGAACGTTGTATAGGAGGAACAGTGAGTGAGCCAGTTTGGTTGGAACTTGGAGGGCGTCCGAAGGGGAGGAGTGTGAAATCATTCTAGAAAGATAGGTTGGATCCAGATTGTGGAGGATTTAAAATGCCAAACAGAGAAATTTGCATTTTATCTTAGAGGCATTAGGGAACCACTGAAACTTCTTGAGCAAAGGAGTGAGATCTGTGTTTTAGGAATGTCAATTTGACAGCTGTGTAGAGGATGCATTACTGTAGAAGGGAGATAGGGAAATGAATCAGCAGGCTATTGCAATAATCCATTTGAGAGGTAATGAAATCCTGAACCTGGGTGATGGCCTTTCAGTGGAGAGAAGAGAATGAATTGAAGAGATGTTCTGGAGACAAAGTTGACAAAACTGAGTAGCTGATTAGATATGGTTGGGGATGACAGGAGAGTAAAGAATTGAGGATGACTGAGGTTGCAAATCTGGGTGTCATGGAAAAATTTCCTTGCCATAAATAAGAAAATTAGGAAGAGAGATGAGTTGTTTTTTGTTTTGTTTTGTTTCTTTTCTTTTTAGGCAGTTGGGGTTAAGTGACTTGCCCAGGGTCACACAGCTAGTAAGTGTCAAGTGTTTGGTCTGAGGTCAGATTTGAACTCAGGTCCTCCTGATTTCAGAGCCAGTTGCTTTATCCACTGTGCCACCTAGCTGCCCCAAGAGGGGTGAGTTTTGAAGGAAAAGATACTGAATATGAAATATCAAGCAAATAATTGCTAGTGCAGGTTGGAATTCAGGAAAGAGATGAGAGCTAGGTATGTAGGTATGAGAGTCATCTGTGTCAATAATATGGGAGCTGATGAGATCATGAGAGCTGTGGACAATCTTGGCATATACTCATACTTAGTGGGCGGAAGATGATTACCAACAAAGGAAACTGAAGGAGTAGTTAAGACAGGTAGGAAGAAAACTAGTACAAGAAAAATCAGGGAGGAGAGAGAATATAGGAGGGAAGGGATGGTTACCTTTATAGAGCGGTCAAAGAAGATAAAGACAAAGTCTTGGATTTAATGGTTAACCTTGAAGAGATTCATTTTAGTTTAGTAGGGTTGAAACTTAGACCACAAGGGTTCAGGAGTAGTTGGCATTTTATTTTGAGATGCATAATAGCTTTTTTTGTCATCACTGTCTTAGTCATGTGTCAAGCTATTAAAATGAACTCTCTGAATACATACCAACCAGGCCTCTACTACAAAAAGATGTCCCATATGTGTTAATATCATACAAGATTCCTTGATGTATGCAACAGAGATATCTTTGTTGAAAGATTTTCTTATTACTATCACTTGAGTCTTAACAGGTAAATATGCTCCCCAAAGTTACTGGCCTCTGTCATGGAGAATGTCCAAAAAAGACTAAAAGGAAGAGAGATTTCCTAGAGATGATAAAGGCTTTCATTTAACTGTTTTTACAAGGCATTTTGCTGATTGCATCAAGGTCCAGAACACTTCGGAACATCCGTGAGATTCCGAGAATTTTCAAGGGGGTTGGCCTGATAATCTACACAGTAATAACCAAGTGGATGAAGACTGCTTAATGTCTAGAGTACATGAAACGCAGTTGACTCAACAACCCACTGAGCTGATCCCTTGTTAGATATGTGTTGGACAGATTCTACAAATAGATAGTGAGCTGGGTCTACAATTAAATAAGAGGGAGACAGAAGGATTAATTATATTTAGGAAATTCCCAGTGCTTTCAACAATCTCAAGCTATATTCTGAAACAAAAAAAAATTTTAATGCCAATATAATATTAATGTTTATATAGCATTTTAAAGTGCTTTACATGATCTCACTTGTCATATGGCTACAATCCATGGAACACCAACAGTTTCTAAAGAATCAAAATTGTGAGTCACATGAAAGGCAATGATAGAAGGAAGCATCTTTAAGTAAATAGGCTACAGAATGTTACCAATGTTGAACTGCATAAAAGATACTGATGAAAATACATTTGACCAGAAAAAGAGGTAGGCATGTTATGTAACAAGAGTAAGGGCTAACAGGTGAACAACCCGATTAGGTAACCTCAGAGTAAAGTTAAAAGCCTTAAAGAAAAGACCCTAACACCAATGGATCCCCATTTCCCCCTGTGCTACCCCCCATCCCTCCATACTTTGGAGGATTTATGGAAGGACACAGATAAATAACCCAGGAAGAGATCGATATTCAAGGTTTTCAATTTGCCTTGTTGGAAGGGTACCCACATGAGTGGGATCACAGATCCCTTGAAAGATTAAAATATGTAGGAACAAGAAGATAGAATAAGTATGTTCAGCAAGAAAATCCATCCAGGGATTGAAAATTGCTTTGTATTCTGTCCTCAATGAGATAATTAAGAGTTGACTAGCAGAGGTAAGAGATGTGGGACAGAAGAAAGGGAAGTGAGGTATTTTGGGTTATTTCCTTTTCTGGGTATCTCCCATGATGTATGTATGAAGAACTGAAATCTTTGACAGTTTTTCTTACTACTCTATTTTGCTCCCTGTCTCTTTCCCAGGGTACAGCCAAAGATCGGAGCTTTGGAGAAATGAAGTTCAAACAGTGCCCCACAGAGAACATGGCCAGAGAGCATTTCAAAAAGCATGGGGCTGAACATTACTGGGACCTTGCACTGAGTGAGTCCGTGTTGGAGTCCACCGACTGAGACAACTACAGTCCCCACCCATTCCTCTCCACTGCCTTTGTCCCTCCAGCTTTCCTTTATTCCTCCATCCCAACCTCTCTGTGTGTCTGTGTGTGCACACGTGTGTGCACACGTGTGAGAGAGATCTCCAAAAACTACCAGGCAGAGCTGTGGGACTGCGGGAGAACCGCTGCTCTGTTCCCAGTCAGTCTGGTGCTGCCTTCCTTTTTCCCTTTCTGTGCATATGATTAAAGAATTATTTTTAAACCTGGTATGGCATTTTTCACACATAGGTGTTTGAGGGTACTTTTTTTATTCCAGTCTTTTGACAAATATAATAGGGACATTTTTATGATTGAAGCAGTAAAGACTAGTATTTTTTGGAGCAGAGTGGGGTAGTGAGAGGAGAGGTATTCCTGATAGGATCTCATTTCCTCGGTAGCATCTAGACAGCAAGTAGGTATTTGATACTCCTATCCAGCAAACTTCCAAGTCCCTTTCTGGTGGAGAGGAGAGATTGGCAGTGGGATATAGAGAAGTAATGAAAGATGTAGTAGGTAGATGGATGAAGCAGGAGGATTCGGAAATTTAGCACAGCTTCTTTCTTTTACAAAGTAAAAATCGTCTTTTCCCCCTGCCCTCAGAGACTACTAGAATCCTACTCTGAGATATTTGGTATCTCTAGGATAGCTTGAGGAGATGTTAGTCACCCTAACATCCTCTCAAGTAATTCTAGAAATAGTCTTAAGGTCTGAGATTCCTTCATACTAACTATACCCTCCATTTATGCTGCATAAATTGCACCAGGCAAATGGAAAGAGTTCTGGATTTGGATTTAGGATCTTGAGTTTAAATCCTAGCTCTTTTTACTTCCTGTGTGATCTTGGGCAAGTCACTTAAATTCTCTTGGCCTCCATTTCCTCATTAGTATAATGCTGGGGATTCAACAACATCTCTTAAGTTCCTTCTAGCTCAGGGGTATTAATGGAACACTGTTGGGGAGTGGAGGTAGAGAAAGTATGCTTACCTTTGGTGTTCCCCTAAAAGGATCTTAAAAGTAATAATGCTAACCAAGTTGTGGTGTCAGTCAACTTGTGCATATTTTGAACTTACAACAGGTTCTCAGTCATCAGGGAAAATAGTTTTCCTAACACATATCCTCTCTTTCCCTACCCCCCAAGTTCTTCCAGGTACAAAAAGCACTGTTTAGCCAATTGTCCCTTATGTCCTGGAGCAAGAGCTTACCAACCTTTTTGTTAGGAGACATATTTATAAGTTTCTAAATGGACCAAGGTGGTTTTTTTTTTTAAGTAATGTGGTAACAGTGGGTACTTGAAGTCAGAAGACTTGGGTTCAAGGCTCCACCACATTATTAGCTGTGACACTGGGCAAGCTCTTTAACTAATCTGAGTCCTCATTTGTAAAAATGGAGAAAATACTTGTATTACCCACTTCACAGGGTTGTTGTGAGGAAAGCATTTTGTAAACGTTTAAACGTTATATAAATGTGAGCTGCTATTACTACTACCTACCTCACAAGGTTGTTGTGAGGATCACTTTGTAACTGTAAATCACTGCAAAATATATAAATGTGAGTTGTTATTGTAAATGGAGAAGGAAATAGGCATTCCACAATAATACAGGTAATCAATGATGTTTTAAGTCCTGGGATGGGCGGGGGCGGGGGGGGGGGGAAGAGGTAAGACAACACACAAAGGTAAAAAAGGTTGACAATACATGGTAAGTGTATTGGAGGTGGTATGAATGATTGGTAATGTACAAGGGGGTGAGGCATTAGCAATGATGGGGGGGAGGGGTGGGTAGGGAAAGCATTGTGGGATAGATGGTATTTTGGTTGGGCTTTAAGTTGAGGTAAGAAACAGGTGGAGGGAGACCAATCCAGGCACGGAGACCAGTCTGAGCAAATGCATGGAGGGTTTAAGAGTGTTTGGAGGGGAAAGGAGAGAAGTAGAGAAAAGAGTAGTAAAATAGCAGTTGATCTGCTACGGCATAGTAGTACTGCTAGGTCAAAGGGTTTGCAGAGTTGAGCAATTACAGAGGGATAGTTTCAAACGGCTTTCCACAATGGCTGGGCCAAATCACAGCTTCAACAACAGTACATTATCATGCCTGTGTTTCACAGCAATTCCAAAATTGTCATTTTCCATTTTTGTCATCTTTGCCAGTCTGATGGTTATAAAATAGAACCTCAGTCTTGCTTTAATTTGCACTTCTCTAGTGATCTGGAATTTTTGTTGATAATTTTAATTTCTTCCTTTGAAAACTTTTTTCTAACCCAGGATATTGGGGTAGGGATGGTATCTGCCATAAAAAGAATTCAATTTGCCAACGCAAAAACCTTCATAACTTAAAATTTTAGAAGCTTGCCTTGGGCAATGAAAGATGAAATGACTTGTCCAGGGTTAAATACACTGGAGGTCAGACTTAAAACCATGTCTTCCTGGTTTTGAAATGGGCTCTATACTCTTCTCCATAACTAATATAAATTTACAGGAATAATAATAGGAAAGAAGGGTGTTAAGTCAAAGCAAGACCTGACTGTGAAAACTCATTTCTCCCTCTATGTGGGCCAGTTTAAGACTAAAAAGATTGCACTACATGACCTCTGCAGTCCCCTTTAGCTATAGAGCTAAGGATTCTTTTAATCTAACGGGTGTGTCTGAAGCCAAAAGGAAATTAGGAAACAGTCGAGAACGCTGTCAGATGCAGCTGAGAGAGCTAGATTCCTTTAAAAGGTAATTGGATTTGGCTATTATAAAGATGTTTGGGAGGGCAATTTCATTAGTGGTGTGGCTAGATTGCAAGAGGTTGAAAATAAGCTCCTGAGATAGTGGAATCGTTGGGTATACCTAAGTTTTGAAATAAAGGGGAGGTGGCAGAGTACAAAGTTATGATGAAGGGGAAGGTTTTCTTTTTGCCTGGTAGGCAAATGGGAAGAAGAAATGGAAGACTAAAAATGTATGAGAAAGGGGCAAGATTGTTGGAAACTCTCGAAAAACACATAAGGTAATGGGATCAAAGACGAAGAGTAGGCTGATCCAGCTTTAAGAACAATTATCACTAACGTGACCAGAGAAACGAGAGGACGATGATGCTGAAAGATTCTGAAGAACTGAAGATCTTCCCTTCGGTTACCATCTGTTCTAAGTGTGGAAGTGAGTTTGGAGCACTGAAGCTAAAAAAGGGCCCCAACTAATGATAAGGAACCTAGGTAAGCACCACCAATTTACAATGGATGTGATCCGCTAGAATGAAAAATGATTTGTGCGTGTGCCTTTGTAAACTAATTCCCAAGGCGTCTTAAGAGTGAGTACAGCGAGTAAAGCCCACAAAACACCTATGTGAATCATTCACCCGAGTCTAGGCTCTGGCCAAGCCTCAGCACCAGCCTCCGCTTACACGGAGAGCGCTCGGGGGGTGGCCGGGTTACCTAACCCAGAGTCTCGCTACCTTCTTGGGTTTGGTGAGGACAACGGCACAATCACACCTTCCAAAGCCTCCAAACTGAAGAGTTCGGGCGAAGTCGGATGTGTTTGCTACCCTTTACGGATTCCCCCTACTTGGTCTGAACGGTCATGTGGCCCTGAATGGTTTCTCCCGAGGTGGAGCTGCAGAGAGAGAAGCGAGAAAAACCGTTTCCTCCAGGAGTCTGCGCAGTGCATGTCTTACTGTAGTTGGCGCATGCGCGTGTTCTGAGGCGCTGCAAGATGGCGGCAGGCCGCTTCGTCCCGATTCGGTGCTCCGGAGAGTTAGCGGAAGCGAGGGCTGCAGTCGCCCGGGAATAACAGTAGCTGCTTCGCAGTGGGAATTCCCTGGCTCTTTTCCGTGAGCAGAACGACATCAAGAGAGACCCTGAGGCCCTGAGATCCGGAGGGAGAGGGCAAAGCGGGCCCCTCCCCCAAACCTCCCCACAGATCGGCCAGCTCTCTTTTTTTCCCCCTCCCTTTTTTCCCAGCGTTCAACACGCGAGTCTGTGACACAGGCGCAGGAGGAGTCGGAGGGGGCCCTCTGCTCTCGCGCGTGTGCGGGCTTCAGCGCGCGCTTTCCGTCTTTCTCTCTCGATTGGTCAAAGTGCATCGCCTGCACTCCTCCCCTTCCCTCTAGACTGAAGAGGAAGGGGAGGCGGGGCTGGATAGCGCATGCGCGGCAATCTTGCTGTCGCTGTTGCTGTTGCGTTGCAAAAAAAAATTTCTGGCTGGGTAGTCTTGTGGCTCTCGTAGGAGGGCTGCAAGGGGTTTGAGAGAGTGTTGTGGAGGGGAGGGGGTGGGGGTGGGGGTGAGGAGTCGGGTAGTGTTAGGTGCCCGACACAAACTCCCATCCCCCGTCCCACGGGACACCCTGGTTCTTGTTGGGAAGGGGTTATGAGTGCAAGGTGCCGGTCAGGCCCCTGCTAGAAGCGGAGTCCTGCGCTCTGAAACCCTCGCCTGTCGGGCCAGACATTTAGAAGGGCATTGCTCCAGGCCTCGTACGCCCCTGCCCTCTGGGCGAACCTCCTCTGCCCCGGACTGGTTTAAACACTACATCCTCTTCCAAAGTGACCAAAGTGCAAGACTCGCGGCCGCCTCGGCCGCCCCCCTGAGCGCCGCGGGGCCGCCTCCGGCGCCGGCCCTCCCGCCCCCACCGCCAGCCCAGCCGAGCGCGTGCACCCGCTTTCTCTTTCCCTCACAGCCCCCAGCTTGCACGCACCCGCAGTGATTGTTTTGCCCGCTCCCGCCGCCGCCGCAGGAGGAGCAGCAGCGCTTGTGCAAGGCGGAAAGATGGCGGCCGGCGGCGGCGGCGGAGGCGGCGGCAGCAAGGCCTCCTCGTCGGCTGGGGCCCTGGAATCTTCGCTGGATCGCAAATTCCAGTCGGTGACCAATACGATGGAATCCATCCAGGGCCTGTCGTCCTGGTGCATCGAGAACAAGAAGCACCACAGCACCATCGTCTACCACTGGATGAAGTGGCTCCGCAGATGTGAGTGGCCCGGCGCCGCTTTGGGGCGACGGGAGGGCAGGGAAGGCCCGGCCGGGGCCGGGGAGGGGAGGACGCGGAAGGAGGGGCCGCCGGGCCGGGCGTTCTCGCCAGCCCACAGCTGCCTCCATCCCCCAGCGGGAGCGGGCCACGGGCGCCTGGGCTGTCCGGTTCCCGTGGGGCCGGGCATGGCGTGAGTGACCTTGGATCGCGGGGCCCGGATAGAGACGGATTCCAGGTGCCCCCGCCTCGGAACGACGCTTGCCGAGCTGGCCGAAGCCCGGAAAGCGTGCGGGAAGCCAACGGCTTCGTGCCCGTTTGTTTTACTGGGCCTCGGCGTGCTCGATTACGATCTCTGGTGTCCCGACGAGACGGGCCGCCCCCCACCGCCCCCTGGAACGTCCCAACTTCTTTGTGCGCCGCCAACTTCGCACCTGGGGGGCTGGAGGGCGAGCAGAGGGGGCTACTCGGGGCCGGGGGGGGGCGGGGGAAGGTGAAGCCCTCGGCCACTGCAAGAGTTCCTAAGCCCCGGCCTTAGCATCCACTCAATTATTTTACTGTGGATGGAACTTGGAAATCTAAACTTTGCATCACCCAAAATGCTTTATTCAGGCTCATTCCTACTGCCTTTAGTTTTTGTAAGAGTATTTCAGCCCACTTCCTGTCCGTAGATTTAGGTGAACAAATACAGAAAAAAACGTTTTTGAAGATACGTTTTTCCAAGGGTGATATCCTATTACCTTCTCTTTGAATTTTCTAGACAATGAAATTCATATTACTGCTTGAAATGCAGTTTCAAAACTGTCAATAAGTGGTGTATTTGCAAGAATATCATAACCTTATAGGAAAGGAGAGTATGATTGATGCCATTTGCTGCCCTGTGAGAGAAGATTTAATCTAAGCTCCGTCTGTAAACGACCTTTTGGAATTTCATGCTCCTTGTTGCATTATTTTTAGGACTTGTCCCTATTGCTGATTATAGTTGAGTTAAGCAGACTAGGTGTGGTGTGGTTTGGTTTTGATACTTATTTCGGTTAATGTGGTCTATAAGTATAAAGGATGCACAGTTCACTGTGGAATAGTGTCTTGGGTCGTCTTTATTTTGGGCAACAAAATGATGACAAATAATCCTGAAACTCACTTTTAAAATTTTCTGTTATTTTTCATCTTTACTCTGGCTGCTCCAATGGTCCTTCAGTGGAGAGGTGAAACATACTGAATTGGAGGCTGAAAACTTTTTGCTTCTTTGTTTGCAAGTTTGTTGTTGGGAGCAGTGTTTCCAGGTTACCTTGGTAATCACGCAGTACTACTAGTAAAGTACAGGATTGCTGGGGTAGTCATTCCTGTGCTCAGATAGATTGAAAAAGTTGTTCCTTTTCTGGGTAGTAAAAGTCGCTCTAATAAATGATACTAACATATAGTATCTAAAACTAATAAAGTTGAGTAAAACTTTAATTTCTAGCGCTCTAGGGGATCTGTAGATGATATTTTGAAGATTGTTATTTTTTGCGCATTACATAGAGTAAGTGCTTAATAAATTTTTTTTGAATGAATAATCTTCCATTCTACTTTAAAACATACCTAAAATATTCTTACATTTGGACTGGGGATTGAAAAAACCCCCACCAAATTTATTGCCATTGTAAAAAGATACTGTATTTTAGAGAACCTGTTGATCCTCACCTGTGACTTTTGGAATCACAAAGCATTTTTATTTATTAAAATATGTGGTTTTGATGAAATGTATTTCTGTGATTATAGGTTATTTTTTTTGCCCCCGGTGTGCTATTTATATTATGGCAGGTCAATGAGGGAACTAGTAATATATCTTAAAGAGTAGAAAAAGATTAATTCAGACAGACTTCTCCTTTCGAGTGCTTTTCTTTTGCGGATGGGAGGGTAAGTAAAATTATATGTAGCATTCTTAAAGAAGACAGCATGGATAGAGCTCAGGACTTGGAGTCAGGAAGTCCTGGGTTCATCTTTGCCTGCCCCATATATGACCCTGAGCAAGTCATTTAACCTCGTTCTGCCTCAACTTCCTCAACTGTAAAATGGAGGTAATAGCACCCACCTCCCAGGTTTGTTGTGAGGATCAAATGAGATATTTGTAAAGCAGGTAGTACAGTGTCTGACACATAGTGTGCACTTAATAAATGCTTGTTTCTTTCCGTTCTCAGTTTCCTCTTCTATGAAATGAGTGGTTGGACTGATCGTTAAGTTTCCTTCCGTTTCTAATTCTATGATCCTATAAACTGGTTTTTTGAGGACTACCTGCAGAATGGAGTTATTCTGAGAAGATAATGATGATTTTTCAGGAGCGATTTATGTAGTGACATTGCATTTAAATTTAATGAATAACTTTTAACCATGCTTTTAAACACTTTGAAAAAGATACTAAAGATTTAACTCCACCTTTGAAACCCAAGCAGGTTTCTGGGGCCAACTATACACAAAACTGAACAAGTGAAGTTTATCTTTTGGCACCATCCGCCTCTCTTTGTCTCTGCCTTGATACCCCCTCTCTAACCTGCCTACCTCCCTTGTTCCTTTTTTTCTGGCAGCTGTTGTCCGATTTCAGTCATTTTAACCTTACTAAGACTGTTGTTGAGTCCTTTCAGTCGCCTCCAACTCTGTGACCCCATTTGGGTTTTCTTGGCAAAGATCCTGGACTAGTTTTCTGTTTCCTTCTCTAGTTTATTTTACAGATGAGGAACTGAGGCACCCTTGCCCAGGGTCGCACAACTAGTGTCTGAGGTTGGATTTGAACTCAGGTTCTCCTGACACCTAACTGCCCTTATTAAGACTATGTAAACTCAATTACCACTCCCAGGGATATTTATATTTTTAAACCTTATCTCCAGTTGTGGAATAGAAGGCCGAGTTTGTTGTTAAAAAGAATTTCAGCATCTCTGCATAGTGAAGCAAGTTGGGGAAAGAGATTTTGAGGAAAAGAGGGACATGTTAGGGAACCCTGAATTATATACCATAGGTGATTGCTACTTTCTTTCAGGCTGCAGGAGGACCTATACTAATTTACCTATCTGCAGCATATATTAAATGATCACTTTGGAAATTAACTAATCCAAGTTTGAAGAACCACTGAATTGTTCTAATTTCAAGATAATTTATCTAGGCTAGTAAGAAAAGTGACTGATACAGGTATTAGTGGGCCTAGACTCTGGCTCGGATGTGGACATTGCCTACAACTTTGTTAAATCCTTCAACTGTTCCTCCTTCCACAGCCCACAATACTTTCTTCCAAAAATCAAATAAACAAACTCTACCATTACTGGTTATTGTTTTTGTGGAATGTCCTGGACATTCACACAGATTGTAGTCAATTTGTATTATGCATTCACTGCTACAAATTACATTCATAATTGACAGAAGTTCAAGACACATTGGTGTATGGTTCCAGAGATGAGGGGGCTCAAAACCAGGTTATAAAAAACAGCAAAAATAATTGAATGTATCTAGCTTGGAGACAAGAAGATTTGGGGATGTGATTACATAATTTAAATGGTATATAAGATGATCAACCTCAGTATATCTTCCACATCATGTATTCCAAACCACACCGGGGGGGGGGGGGAGGCAGGCGCACACACACAATTTTTATATATGAGGAAAGTAAGATCCAGACAGGGTAACACGGGCAATAGGTAGAAAGGCCAACATTTGAATCAAGTTCATCTGACTTCAAATCTATCTGCCTGTGTCAGATGGAAGGGAATAGGTTTGTTCTGTGTGGCCTTGGAGGGTTGAATTAAAAACAATGAGTAGACATTATAGGGAGGCTTATTTTACCTCAGTATAAGGAAGACCATCTTGATAGAGGCGTCCAAAAAAATTGAATGGGCTGCTAGGCAGAGGCTGAATAAATTACTTGAGGAAAGGGGACTTGTGCTTTGGGTCGGAGTTGGATTAGATGCATATTCCTTCCAGCACTAAGATTTTATGATCAAATGGTCTAAACAGCTTACTAGGGGGAAATGGAAAGTTTGACAAGCATAGTGCTTAGCAGTGTTAAATAAATGCTTTCATTCATTCTCATTCCACCTCTGCCCTTAAGTATCCTCCAAACCTTGTATCTTTTCTGTAATGTGTTGATTTTTGGTTTGGAACTTGATTATGTTTGGAGTAGAGATGGGAGAGAAGAATTGATAAGTAATTGTTTCAGGTGGTGGAGTGTTATATTTGTTAATTTGTTTCATCTCTTTTTTTCTATAAATAAAATTAGACAGTTGAATTTTAAAATGACCACATTGTAGCCACAGACTGTGAGTATTCTTTATATAGGATTATTAATTATGATAAACTGATTGTGACCAATGTACTATTAATATATTAATATGGTGACTGACAAGCCAAGCTTCTGACCTTTCTGGTTACCACCTGAGTGGTGTGACTCGTCCAGGCAATACAGACTGTTTTCTTCTTCTTCATAGCAAGACCTTAACAGTAACATATTATGAGACTAGCCATCTTCATCTTTAATGCCACATCTACTTAACTACAGAAATGAAAATTTATAATGGCATAAACTATATAGATATAAGAAGTATACATCAGCTTAGATGAATTTTCCTTAGACATCTCTAGTTTCAAATGCTTCTCCCTGCCTCAATTCTCTCCCCACTCCAATCCATCTTCCACTTGGCTGTCAAATGGATCCTGCTAAAGTATGTCTGACCGTATCATGCCCTGAATTCCCCATTCAAAAAACTCCAGTGACTCTTTATTACCTCCAGGATCAAATATAACATCTTCTCTTTGACTTTTAAAGCCCTATGTAACTTGGCCCCTTCTTAACTCCCCTCCCTATACTCTGTGATCCAGTGGCCCTGCCCTTCTTGCTATTCCCCCAATATGATACTCTATTTCCTGACTTTGAGCATTTTCCCAGCTGATCCCCATACCTGTAATGCTCTCCCTCCTCCTCCTCTTTTCCTTCTGGCTTCCTTCAAGTCTTATCTAGTCCCACTTTCTGCAAGAACGTT